AATCAACTCAAAATGTTGATATACAATGCATCCTGCAGAAGAACAGTTTTATATACGACTCTAAAACTATAGCAGACCTTTTCAGTGGTAATTTTGCAAATGGCAAAGAATCTATAAATGGCGCCATTTCAAGAGTTATATGCGTAATTAGTAACTCAGTAAAATCTATCTCCTTCACATGCTTGATAATTAGTAAGGTTATAAATACCCTCAGGGCTTCGAGAGGTCATGAAACAGACGAAATGTCATCATTTGTCTACAATTATGGTGGTCTAGATATTCCAATTCTCCCAAAGCTGTTTACTCTCTCTATGGAATCAGATTTTTACCCTGACTGTTGGAAAACCGCGTACATTATACCACGTTACAAATCTGGAGATAAGACTGACATGAACAATTACTAAAGTTATCTCTAGGATTATGGGAGAAATTATTAGTGACTAACTATCCAGCCACTTACTGACTGGAAAACATGTCAGAGATATGCAACACGTATTTCTTAAAAATCGATCTTGTATGACATGTCACTTTGACTTCTTTAATTTAGTCTATTCTCTTCGTAGCCAAGAATATCTAGTATTAGTGTTATACCTGGACATTTCCAAAGACTTCGACATGGTCAACCACCAACTTCTCATAGGTTAACTCGCATCTTATGGGGTCCAAAACCTTTGCTTGGTTGGTTTGATTCCTTCCTCAGCAAACGACATCAAATAGTTAAAATTAACTCTTCACTGTCCAATGCCACCCCTGTTAGAAGTGGTGTAATACAGGGTAGTGTCTTGGGCCCTTTGCTCTTTTTAGATTTTAACAATGATATTTGTGAGTGCTTTTGTGTGGGTAAGTCCCTTTTGTATGCAGATGATCTTAAATGGTGTATTCATCTTTTCCACTTGAGCTGAGCAATATTCAAAATTGCATCAGCATGGAGCTTAACAAGCTAGCACAGCGTTTCTCAAAATGGCAGCTGGAGCTTAATATAGCTAAATGTGGATGGGAATGCTTCGGTAATACATCATTCAACTAACATCTTATCATAAATGGTGAAGTGTTATCTAGGTTACACACAGTAGTAGACTTGGGACTCAGCTACTCCTACGACTTGTCGTTTATAGAACAGATAATGAAACAGACTTTCAAGTTTCAACGCCTTCTAGGTTATTTAACTCGGAACCCTTTTAACAGTGAATCACGTTTTTTAATGTACAAAGTTTGTGTTCGACCACTCCTTGAATATTGCGCGTTTATTCTTAGTAGTGAGCGCATAAAGGATAAATTAAGGCTGGAATCAGTACAGAGACTATTTACACTTCGTATTCTTGGGACTGATTGTACCTTGACTTATAATTCTAAGTGTAATAAACTTGGGCTCGACCCTTTATGGAAAAGAAGACTAAAACTATATCTTATCTTCTTCAGAATACTTAATAAATTATCCTGTACATCCAGCCAAGCAATTCAATATGCAGAAACTTCTCATTACGATATTCGTAACTGCTTGTCATTGGCGAAACACACACATTCTAAATCGTCCCTCTATATGAAATACTTTACCTGTAAGCTTTTTAGACCCTGGAATAATCTACCACAATCTATCCGTACGATAAAATATCTCATATTGTTTGTTCGCTGCATTGAAGCATACTGCTCCTCTGAAAATGCATTAAATGTTCTAGTGCCTGTAAATGTATCTTACTCCACAAGTGAGATTATAGGAACTTTAAATGTTTAATCGTTTTCCTGCTGTCACTTTACATTAACACTGCCCCTAGCAACCTTAACTAATTTGAATGATATCTAACGTGAACAGTGGCAAACCTGACCAACACATTTTGGCAATCATTGCTTTGCTGTTCCGTGCTCTCTGTCTTAGTTTTACTTTATCCAATTGTAGATGATTATCAATAATTCGTTCTGGCATTGGAAATAACCTTAAAGAACACCGTTCACAAATCATCAGGCTATCCTTTCAAGAAAAAAATTAAAAGTTCCCTGCTGATGCATTGGATTTTTGTGATACTTAACAATTACTGAACTAGCAACCTTAAAACAATCTTATATCACATAATTTTTCTCTACATCTAATGTTGCTATTTACATCAAATTGATCATGCCTGTAAACTAGTGTGAATTCTGTAACTATCATTTTCAGAATATATTATTATTAATAATAACTTCTCTGTCAGTATCGACGAGGTAGCGAACTTTCATGATCTTATCTGTGACGCATAGCAGACGGCTATGTTCGCCGGCTACGGTTGCCGTTATCGCATGCCGGTTGGGACGTTTCGCGAATTGCTTTTCGTGCCATTCGATTTTGAGTTTAGGTAATTACAAGGTTTTATGAGATTTCTTGAAGACTTTGCATACTGATTATGATACCAGCATCAGTCGGGGTTATCCGTCTCTCGTGGTCTAAAAACATATTGCCTACATGAAGTGCTTCTTCGCGGGGTTCTTGACCGACTACGGTCATTACGAAATCGAAGATATCATGTTAGTGTATGACATAATTCGGTGATGTCATTAGTAAACATCCAGGTGTGATTTGCCTGTTGAATTCGCGCGGCAGTTACTTAACAACCTCGAGGAACTGCGTGCATGAGTCCGTGATGCCGTGCCCGCAAAAGTCAGCTTCTGAGTAGCAGAACCAGGCTTTAACTGAATCGACGGTGGGGAATTAGTCTTTAACTTTAATACTATGGGTGTCTGTTCCGCCATAGTGAAAAATCAACTATTATAATGAACGAAAAATAAATAATTAAAGTATATCCGAAGACTCCAAAAAAATCACAATATATAGAAATCAAATGAAGTAAAACAATGAATAATGAAGTTCTAAAAAGGAACAGACTCACAGTTTATCGTTTGGTGTGCCAGTTCGCGTCGGTTTCACCACTGGAGATACCACCAGTATTGTAGTTTGACAACTTTCTACTAGTAACACCTATGATCGAATCGTGCCCCACTCCGTTAAAATCAGAAGTCAAAAGCGAAGAGGTTGGAAAGATTTATTTGATGCGTTATCAATATATTGAGAAGTGAATAATCTAATCTGGCTAGTGATCGTAGGAGATGTTTCCCACGCCGTGCTGTAACGCGATCTGGTGCGGATGCATGACCGAAAGCATTCAGCTAAACAAGTTCACTAAAACTTATGTGATCAGCATCCAATGTCGAACACTTAAGAAGCTATTAGTTTTGGGGAATTATTTAGAGCTACAGCCATAATTCGACAAGTGCTCTACAATATATTACTTCTGGACTCGATTTTAAGGTTCAAGTAATCAAAATCCAACTTCTTGAAAACCTATAAGAAATGTTTTATTTCTCTGTATTCATTGTTGTCAATTTTACGTGACTACGTGAAAAAATCATTGATATTTGTGGGAAGTAGTAAAATTAAGTTTCAGAAGAATCCAGATTTTTCAGATAACCATAAGCAAACTGTTTTATGATCACAATAATATGAAATGCGATTTTGTCTAAGATATTTCTTCTGTTCAGAAACAAAATTTCACATTGATACACAAATAACTCACTACTAAGATTATTATGGGTCTGTCTGATACTAGTCTCCACAGTGACACCGAATGAATAAAAAAAACGTTTTTAATATTCAGGCAAACTTCGTAGATTTGTTTAAAACATATACCAAAAGCTGTGCATAGACCAGTACGTAAAGACAGTAAAAGACTGTGAATACACACGGCTTTATTGTTTTGGGATACGTAAACGAGGTGATTATTTATATGGAATGTACAAAATGTAGTTTGAGGACCTGAGAGACTTTAATGCGATTTCTTTCTTGTCCTACTACTTCAAACATACATTGGATGCACTGCGGGCTTTCAAATGTTTGGGACACGGTAGGATTTCGTAAATGCTCATAATATCTTCAGTTGTTCTTCAGTCTTCAGTAATAAAGGTAGTAGGTTAGTGGACTAGTGTTAGTCCTGACAGATTGCTTTCCAGTGAAGGCCCAGCTTCGCCTTGAAAATGTTCACTGATTGGGCTGATACCACTTGTTCGGGTAAGGCGTTCCAGTCACTGATCACTCGATGAGAAAAAGGGGACCCCACTTCAGGTTTATTAGATCGTGGTTTGCGAACCCTCTTGTTATGACCTCCGAGATTATTAGTGCTGGATGGAGCAAAAATATAAGACATTTCTTGTATTCCAAAACAGAAAATCTACGAGGACACTCCAAAAAAGTTCACAAGCCCCGAACGAATTACTTGTCAGCTGACTAACGACTTTCCCATCGAATAATCAACGGGTGGAATTCATTACCTCAGCACGTGGTTGAGGCTCCATCCGTCGACTCCTTCAAAAGAAAGTTGGATCAGCTGAGAGACCATCATAGCCTGGACTAACACAGGCCATCAAACCTCCTGTCCTTTCCAAACTGAAACTGAAATTAACACCCAAATCATAATTAAGGATACGAAGTGTCAGTATAAGATCACCTCGCATCCTACGATAAGACAAGGGAAAAGATTTAGACGTTTCAAACGCTCATCACAAGGAGGTTTAGGAAGACACCACACCAATTTCGTCCCCGCACGCTGGACGTGCTCAAACGAGCTCGTACCCTTAATCAGACGTGGACTAGCTGCTTAGATACAGTACTCTAAGTGTGTTCTTACATCGGTGGGATATAAAATTCGAAACATCCTTGTCAAAGCACTTGAATGCTCGGCAAAGTGACCATAACTCACGATAATCTTCGGAAGCAGCTGCGTTGCAGTGCGTAGTTGTTTTCAAGTCGTGACTTATTAGTACTCCGATGTGCATGAACACGCTCTCCTTATAATTAACTTCTAATCCTTTAACCATGAGCCCATCTAAATTATTCACCCAAGTCAGCTTGGAGCTGAAAATGATCAGCTTCACTTCTTATTGTTTCCCAGATTTTGACATCGTCCTCAAAAAACAAAGTCGATTTAAGCAATGGAGGTAATTCATTAACATGAAGAAGGAAAAGTAGAGGGCTTAAGATGGTGCTTTGGGGTACACCACTTTTGACTGGCTTCCATTCGGAAATTTGTTGTGAATCAACTTCACTTTTGTACATTCATAGCACCGAAGGTATATTTAGCCAAACTTAATTTGGGTTATTTGTTTGCTTTCGCTCTTTGTGAAAGTTGTCTCTCCAGCTTGCTGTACTTTCGTTTGTTTTGTTGCCTCTGATAGGATCGTGTGTAGTTTTGCCACTATCCCTGAACAATCTGTTGAATTTTGTATGTTTATTGTATTGGTGCGACTTTTTTATTGTGTGGTAAATCCTTGTGTAATGTTTTTATTACGATGATTGGCCTTACTCATCGAAGTGAACGGTTTTATTGTTCTCTCTTTGCTAAGAAAGGAATGTAACTCATTGAGTTCATCAACTGGCTCCATAAGTCTTGCACCCACTTAGTACCTACTGCATATAAGAGATATCTGAAATCTAACTCATTGGACTTGTATGTTTTGTTATTCGAGCGGGGCATTACTGACCTAGGAGACGATAGACTTTCTAGCGTTGGGGAAAAAATTGGTCGCATTAGTCCTAGAGAATTGGGTACCGACTGAACTTTACTAGTCTTGTAAGTACAGAAGGAGCTAAACACCCAACTGCAAAACCTGAAGATGAGGAATCTTCGTCCCGCGCGACAGCTCACCACTTATCGAAGTTGACTCCAAAGACATTTTATCTGAAAACCAAAATAAAACTCATCGGTTCGGAGAGTCATGTTGTGGAAGTCTCTGGTGAGGGGAAATGAAAATTAGTATGGAAGGAAAGTGACTTCGACTAAGAACTCACTACCCCTAGCTAGATAGCTCCCTCTTTGAGTAGCAGAATGCGTCGCCAAAGCTCGAAAGTAAGACTATAAATACAGTTTGTCCAGAAAAAAATGAGGAATTTCGTCAAGTATTATTGCGAGCAATCGCATTGAATCAAAAGACTTTGATCATAAATTTAAACATGCACATGGCTTAGGTAAGATCGGGATATTTATCCATATGTCTTTACTGGATAACTCGGCTTGAGTTCAGATTAAAGTGTCGATAAGAATAGCCAAGCGGACTGATGTTGTTGACCCCGACCATGTAGATTCTCCAAGGTGGGGGAATCTGAGGCACAGAAAAGCTGTTAACCAGTGCCCAAAAGCAAGGTAATAGAGATATTCGAGTAAGACCTAATGTCACTGATGTATAAAATTAAATGGAAAGCGTATCTAGCTGAACTGATGACCTGTCCACAAAACAGCAAAGGAAACCTTTGTTTGATGGGCTTTTGAGTAGTCAAGTTTTGGAAAATATCAGGGCCTCGTACTACACTCACTCAGGCATTCAACGTAGAACTTTAGACTTGGTCAGAACTGTCTGCCTCGTAAAGAAAGCATATTTCCTATAATTTCAAGGATTTATGGCTTTGTTAGCGGTATTAATCGCTGAACATTGTTCCATACCGTGATTAAGTCGATAAGATTAAAGTTCACGGACATGGCTCAAAATCGTTTGCAATGGCGAAGGTGCATCCACTCTTTGTGTTCTCCAAAATTCTAATTTGAATTCTTCATATCCCTTTCTTTTTTCTCTCTAAATTTCTTTCACTGGATTATACCCCTTGAATAACATCTCCAAACCCTAATCTTTCCTATTACCGCTTATACTCTTACTACTACCACTATGGGATTTGAATCGGCAACTGCATCTTTGTTCTAATGTGGTATGGCAACTCGAACTGATGTACGTACGTACGAAGTTCTACGTTGTGACTAACTAACTGACTAGAATTAATCAACTTCTCGCTTTTCCTAAGACGTTCTTCCTGTATTCAAAATACTTTTATTTAAGATTTGCCTTATATTGATAGGGGCTTTGTTTGTTAATTTTGACGATCAAAGGCCCGTACATCATTACGACTGTTTAGACTTTTCTATAACGGAGAAATCACTTATTTCCACTGATCTTTTCACTAATGAGTTACCTTTAGAGTTTTTTAAATCTGTCCTCATTTTCTCCAAGCTACTGTCCCCAAGGTATCCAGCTTTGTGCTTTTGTTTTGATGTGTAACACCTCTCCGCATGTTGTTGCATCTGTAGTCGCCGGAGTGTTATCGGTTTTATCGTCTATGTTAGCAGATGAACCTCCTAATGGAGTTTTGTGTTATATCCCCCGGTGAATTACGAATGTTAACTTTTAGGTCTATTTATCGACCAATATATTATGCCTATTTCCTATTGTACAATTGTTACGTAACTAAACTATTCATATTCATGTTTCTCTTATCATGAGCTTTATTTTGATCTTTGATTTATTATCATACGATTCTTGAGTTATACTCATTTATTGATTACTTTGGTTTGTATAAAAACCCAGTATGTTTGTAAATAATGATTCATACCACTGAGGCTGTTATTGGTGTTTTGGACTTAACTGGCTGGGCTAGGCAGATCACAGGACCGGTTAGCACTGTAGACTGCTCGTACGGGTTTCGTGTCACTGTTCCAACCGATAATTCGCTGCTCCCTGTTTGGTGGTCTTATCGCGTCACACATCAACTAGTCATCCACTCGGCCACAAGCATAACATTTTGTTCACTCCAATAATCAGCAGACAATGCCATCATCTTTTGATGACATTTTTACTGCGTAAATATCCCGCCAGTCTTTAAGTATTCAAGATGTACCAACTCTGGGCTCATGAATTAGTAGGGACTACATAGAGCAACGCTTATAGTACACCAATAATTCCTGTTGAGGATTTTTTATGGTGCATGTGTAAAGAAGGGTTTTGACTAAATTACATCAGTTCCAAGTATAATAAAGGGAACCTAAAAATTCAAATACAGCTATGATCATATTATAAAACAGTTTGTTTCCTTATTGCTTTGATCCAGTTCACATTCTGTGACAACATAGATAGAGGCATTTGTCAATCATTAACGAAGTAAAACCTTACACAAATGTTCTCCAGTGTGTCGTCACACTACCAACACAAAATTATTGGCATAAACACTAAAATAGTAGTACCGAATAATTAAGTATAAATAATACGATTCGAGAAATAGAAGGTATATGATGCTTTGAAACTCAAGATCTAGGAGTAGACAAATGTTAATCGGGTTTTGGTCTTTGTGACCAGTTTTGAACCGTGTCACCCAACTTCTCTAACCATTAGGATAATCGTTCGGACTACAACCGGGTAGTCTGCACCTACCTACATGGCTTATATCAACAGTCAGTAATTTCCACCAATGCTGTATCTTGTTTTGGGTACACCTAGCTTCCTTCAAACATCACTTCCTGTTCTTTGTCGTGTTTAACCTCACTGATCATCTGTCATTACAACACAGATCTATGTAGTTTAGTTTCCAGTTGTGTTTTTGGTTTTTTTTAACATTAGCAAATATAGTTGTTAATGCACCAAGTTTCTCAAGTAAGTGTGCACAAACTTATTCGCAATCACCTAACAGGAAAAGTTAGTTTGTAATAATTAAAGGCTTGTGAACGTAACATTGGACATTTTTGAATCTTTCTAAAGTTATAGAAAGTAAGTAGCTATCATCTCCAGGCAGCTATTGATTTTTGGGTTTTAAACAGGAAAGTGGCTAATTTGTGTAGCATTAAACTCAAGTCTCTTGTGGTTGTGAGGTTATTGTTTTTGGTTTCATACACTGGTTTACATATTTAAATGCTACCTATCAAGGTTGTTCACTTGCCCTCATGCAAAAAGTATAACTCATGGCGTAATGGGTAAAACTGCGTTTAATTGTTAGTCTGTATCCGCTTTTTTACTAATGGTTCCTATCGATGTTGGATATAATAATCAGTAAAAGTAGATTAAAGTTGGCTGAAATGTAAAAGCTTTTGTCAACTGTTTTAACCTAATGTTTAATGAATCTCAAGAAACAGGTTTTAGAGGTTGCAATATACTTGTCTCTGTAATCTTATTTTGTATTCTCTACAGATCATACACCTCACTAGAAGTTAATACCATCTTATTACTTTATTTATTTTGTCCTGAATCTGTTTGAATTGAAAATTCTATTTTCCGACTTCACATTTGGTTGTGATGGATTACGAAACAAATGAAGAAAACGATTATGACAGTGATTTTATTGACGAAGATACAGAGTCACGTCTTTACAGTGCCGTGTTCTTTGAGACATCAATTTACACACCCGTATCACATAATCTGGTATCGAAACGAATTGGTTCTAATTCTAATGGCACATCATTTTTATGCAATTCGGAATCATCTAAAAGTCCTGTTTTCATGAATGTTGAGTGTGCAAATGATGAAATATCTGATACGTTGACAACCTCACTTCAAGTTGAAAAGGACTGTTTCAAAGATGAATGTGAAAACGATAACTCATCATCAAGTTCTGGTTGTAGTGTTTTATTGCGTGGTGGAAATGAATCTTCTGAGACTGAGATTAGTACTCAAGGCGTTATTCTTGGCGTTTCCCATGATACGTTGCTGCATGTTGAGAATGGAAATAGCTCTCCAGTAGTACCATGTCAAACAACATTTAACGATGATCCTAATTTGTGGAAAATATGTAATGCTGATAGATGCTCATCACGCTCAACAAATAGCCGGTATTTTAACAGTTTGGATAACTCACTCTGTTCAGAATGTGGAAGTAAAAGACAAAAGTTTCATAGGTGTTGTACTGTAAGTTTGTGTTGACAAGGTCTTTTCACTGATTTTAGAAAGCGTAGGTAGGCATGACAACCCATTTTTCATTACGACATTTTGATATTCGACCATATTCAGTCTGAAAATCAGAGTTAATTGATTTGATGTGTCCATTGTGTTATTTGCATTAAATTTCAGGTATTCATTGGTTTGTGCCTAGCAGTAAACCTTTGATTAATCCAGAATTAATAATTGCTTTTGGTGCTAGCCTATCAGTAAGGGTGTCAAACGGAACTAGATAACTTGTATGATTCATATAAGAAAATAATCAAGTATAATGACTACTAAAAGTAGATTATTATCTTACCATTATCATGTATGTTCATTGTCAATTCTTCTCTTGTTGACAGTAAAATCGTTCCAATCTTTTTACTTCTGCTATTGCCAAATGTACTGATATAAGTCCATCTATTTACACAGTTGATTGATCACTTGGTAGTAACCAATGTCGTGTATGTTAGGTCCTGACCGAACTTAATCGATCAACCAACCACCACATATCTCAATATTGTGCACACAACGTCGAATTACCTAGACTCGTTGTGACATTGCAACTCCGATTTGACCTATGTAGTACCTGACATACATGACATTGGTCACTATTCAGTGATTAAACAACTGCAAACACACCTCAGTCCTACAGGAGGTCGACTGTGTCCCGGATAGTTCAGTGGTAACGTTTCTGACAGTAAAGATAAGTGACATGAGATGTAGTCCTCCAGGAAGCATAAGTCCTTTCAAGATTTCAGGTGCACCTTGCTGACGAGTACCAAATAGCACAAAACCTAGATCCAGAGTTTCCTGATGACTACCTCCAACCAACATCTTTCATTTATTCTTATGTAAGTTGTTTCATCCTTTTGTGTTTGGTCAAATGTGAGCCATAAATATCGTAGCTCCTCTTAATATGAATTCAAAGCAGTATTGAGTATTTCAATTTCCTAATATTTATTGCTCACTATTAGCATTACTTGGAGGTTTCACAGAATGTAAATAGTTCTTTGAGATCGCCATTAGGCAAATACGCATAGCCTTTCTGTTGCTTTTGTCAACCACCATTTTGCACATATAGATAAAGCCAGTGAACTACTGTACAGTATTATGAGCCCTGAAGATATACTTAGTGAACTCTTGGAATGCCAGTTATAAAATGGCGAGTCTCAGTCATGCATTTGAGATATTTACAATTATTTCGTGAACATATAGCCAATTAGGATCTAAGCGAATCTATAGGTAAGTGAAATGCTTGGCAAGCTTAATCAGTCTATTGGTATTAAAATGTGTTAAATCAGTGTAGACAAATTCAGTAATTATCTCGTTGTGAGGGTAATGTTCTACTATTAGGTTTAGAAGAGTATGACAACAGTTATGTGTCATTGAGGGGAACAAAATTTCAGGCTATTGGGCCTTTCCAATTATAAAAGAAAAGATTAGGTTAAATCAGACTAAAATATTGCACTTGGACTGGGTTTTCAGCTTTCTGTTGTTGGAAGTTAGTTTTCTTAGGGTTCCGATTGAAGCACTTATCTTCTACCATTCACAACCAGACTTGCACTAATGTCTTTCGAAGTTGTTTTACTGTAATGTGTTTTCCTTATCAGGAACTTTGAGGCATCAACCTCATCGGGTTATAAAACCTAAAAAATACCCTTGAACATTCTTGTTGGATTCAATAAATTTTTATAAATTTGAACAGAGTTAAAACAACAAGGATAGCAAAATAAGGTGAATTCGTTTATTTTGTGTCTTCTCGGCTGCTTACAACCTAGAAAAAATAACGATTATTTACACAGAATTTATAGTGATTAGAATAGCGTTAACAGTTATTACAAATTAACAAGGTGGGTAAATATTTTTGTCACTAAATGTGGAAATTCCATAAGAATTTTAAAACACATGGACACACGTTTCTAGAGAATGAATATTATAATATCGTAGTAACAACCATAACATTAGATAGAATATCAGTTTAAGATGATCGAAGCTTAAAAGAACCTAAGAATATAGAGTGAATTTGTTAGCGCGAATATGAAATAAGAAATTACGTTATTGATTAAAGAAAAATAGAGGTTGTCAGAGTAGAGAAAGATTTTCAGTCTTTTCCTTTTTGAATACATGATACTCCCATACCTGTAGTCATTCTACTAATCATTAATATGATGTGAATTATGTACATCGGTTACGAATAACTATCACTGTTTTTTCATGAACATAATTCCCCTTATCATTTTGAAGAGAGCAAGAACAGAGATTCTATCAGAGTAGCATGAATTTATTTTATTTCCTTTGGTTCTCATCATCTGCTTACAACCTATGATATTTAAAAACAGTTACAAAATGGGTTTAAATTACTTACATGAGAGAGTTTATTTGGAAGTTATTTTGAAGACACATCAGTTTAGTATAGCATGAGTGTAAATAAATGTAATAGACTGAATATTGTAAATACATACCTTATTTAAAAGAACATTATACAACACTGATTGTAACAAGAGTTCGAACGGTCAAAAACAAGCGATCACATAATGAGTAAACTTTGATAGAAATCAAACGAGTAAAGCTCACTCAATAAAATAAGATTACTAATCTGGAAGACAGTTTTACGATGCAAAGAAGGAATGTCTGTCAACAAGGCAATGAAAGAATTACAACATTCTTTTTTTGAACCTGATAGTAATGGCTTCAGAAGACTGGAGCTTGGCTATTTTTTAATCACCTTGAAATATTACATGGTATCAACCTGATGTCCTGTATCCAAGAGATGTTTGGTGACTATGTAATGTGGTCTACTTATATCCATATAAGTAGTATTTGGCGATGGTCAGACATAAAATGTATTTTGGCAGAAAACCGATAAAGAAAGCTGAAATGAAGCGCAATCGGTAGGAAAATGCATGAACAATGGAATTAGAGAAGATGAACTGATATTTACAGAAGGAACAGTGAAGATTGAGACAATTAGTTGTTATTTTGTTGTCAATGAAGTAATTGATTCTATTGATCAAGACCATTATTTATTACTTTAACATTTTCTGTACATGTATTACATTTTTTTCATTCCTTCTATTCTTACTCAATATTGTAGTGTTGCATTTTGTGCGGAGAAGAGGGTCATGAAAAAGGTGAATGCGATAAAATGTATTGTTATGCGTGTTTGGCGCCTGGTCACACAAAGTATGAATGCCATTTGTTGAAAAGTCTGAAAAAATCGATCTGCGAACGCTGTGGACAGCAAGGACATAATTCAACAGTATGACAGTATTATTTTTCGTCTATTAGGATTTATTTAATTTCATGGGTTTATTCCACTAGAAATAACTAAACAGTACAATATCCCTATCGGTTCCTTGTGGAGAGCTCGTTTTTAGCATCCCGACTTACATGATTTCGTAATTTCAATTAATTTAAAAGATGCTCTATTTTTATTCCTAAATATATTTTGCCGAAATCCTGGTTTTCATTTATTGTCAATGACTCATCGATAACCTTGGCACATTCCATTGATTTTATATTTAATAATGTACTACAGTACTAAAATTTTATAACTGTGTGCCTAGTATTTATGTAATTATGGTTCCTTTTATTCAGATGATAGGATAAATATTATAGTGTAAATACGTAACTTTCAAAAACTGAACCAACATGTTTGTGCTTTAGTCAAGAAATTAAAACAATACGATCATTTTAATAATTTCTTTTAGCTAGAAACTCGTTTATGCGCACAATGAGTCAAAAAATTTATATTCCAGTTCCAAAAATTACTTTTGTTATTACAAACTACTGTAAATAGTATAAAAATTTTGGGTAGATATTTTAAAGAAATGAGAGATTCATCTGTACCCCTTAGATTTATATTACCATGCTTTCGCATGTACTATTATTATTATTATTGCTGTTATTATTATAATTAGTCATTATTATTTTACTGGTGATGTTACGACGAGGTATAGCCGTATAAGGTTTACTATTAACTGAAGTAGTCGAAGACCATTTATGCCAGTGCTTGCTAATCGACTGTTATTATTGATGTCTAACTCATCACATGCTTTATAGTGTAAATAATCTTGTTTCCAAAGGAACCTAAGGGGGATATTTTAGATTACTGAGTTCCACTTGGTTAACTACACATGAACATGTGACACTTTTCTATCTTACCAATGATTATTTCGTTTAAAAAATAAGTCATAGTTTTTATTTTTCTTGACCTGAAAAATATGCTAACTTTTTCAAAAAAACTTTTAAATACTGACGTGATGTCTTATACCTTTAGTTGAACATGTGTTTCCCTTCATCCTAACCTGTTTTTGTGTTTTTTTTTACTGAACATTTTCTTGCTTGTGGGTTTGAAATCTATACCAAGCATACATTTGGTTTGTTAGTAGGAAAAATCTAGCTAATTATGTACATATAATGGCCGTTTGACGCCTTTAAATTTTTATAGCAACACAAATATTCATTATATAATTATTGAGGCAACCCAAATAGTTGCTTAATAGACCTATCACTTAAGCTTTGTATATGGTAATACTGCTGTTTATTCTATATATTGTCAAAAACCTTAGATTTTAACCAGTTTGTCTCATGTGAATTTCGCCTGTGATATAAATTTTTATTTCTGTTATCATGTGCTGATGCGACATATTTGTTTCTTGTTTTCTTTTTGGCAGCTGTGTACAGAATTGTGGAGACAATACCGAAATACCGTAAGTTAATCTTTTTTTCTGGACATATTTTATTTAAAACATCGTCATCACTGTATCTACGCGTGTACGCGGTAGAATCCAAAAATTTGGAGTTCAAAGCCTTTATCAATCAAGTTTCTATTTATGCCAACCGATAGCAAACCCATACATATATCGGATATCTAACAAGTTTTGAAGTCATTTAATACTAAACTTACAGTTAGTGGTATGTAATAGATAGCTAAACGTCCAGAAGTTTGTCCAATCGATAGGTATTTATTGTTTGGAACAGTAGAGCGTTTAATATAATTCAGATACATGTATAGCCAATTTATCGCCCTACTTAACATATTTTTCCACAACTTACAGTTGTGCATTCAGACCATTACATAATCTTACCTACACCTGTGGGCCCTTGGGAAGGAGAGTGGTGGTCGGTATTCGATATTATCCTTAAACTTATATTGTTCGTCCTGATAACCGTTACTAGATAACGGCCTAACAGTGTATAAATCAGAAGGCGAATACGAAGTGTTGAATACGTTTCTTATTGAACCACGTACAGATATCCAAAATTACAGGCACGTTAAGCAAGCATGAAAGAGTAGTGCCAAAAAGCAGGCGATCCATCCCCTGTAATGTTGATTCTTGCGTCCCAGAACCTCCTGACACGTTGAAGTTTATGCTTCTTTGATCCCTTTCCCGTTGTCCTCGACAGTAGTTTTCTCTTCGACTAGACCTGTAGAACTATGGTCTAGTTCGGTTTTATCACATTTATGTTCATTAGTATTGTAATAGGCCTAATTCCAAAACTATAGATTTGTCGTGACGTGACTATCTGATCTATGAGATCTTACGTGGAAGTCATATAATTGTCTATTCTGACTCTTACGTGACACTCAGCAGCACTATGTTTTACACTTCTCAAGAACACACTTAGACTAGGGATAGAATAATATATTTCAGCGTGAATAAGGATTTGTTACAATGATGACCACGCCTGTAAGGCTGACCCATGCCACACCGATCAAGTGTCCCCACGTTCCTCGTCGTTGACCTTCTCCTAGTGTTGTGTGTTGCGTGTGAATATTTTCAGTAATTGTGTGTTCGGTTTCAAAGATCGTGTGGTTAGGAACCAGTACCACTATAGATCTTATAAGGCTTTGGATCCGATGTTGAGAGCTATCCTGAACTCGTTTAGTTTGTCAGTATCTTTAAGGAAGGCTGTATTAAACCTTTGTAGTCTTGTTTCTCTAATTGTCCAGTGCTTGTTTGGCTTCAGTTTCATCTTGACAACCACCAGGTGGTGATCTGTAACTATGTCAGTTCCTCTCCTTCTCACGTTTTCCATTGACCTTCTGAATATTTTAGTGATGCAAATACGATCAATATGGTTCTATGTAGTGTGATTCGGTGAAAAGCTTGTAGCTTTGCGTGTTTTTGTGAGGGAGTATAGTGCCATCAATAATCGTCTTGTTGAATGCATATAAATTTGCACCACTCTCGTTCCTTCCTCTCAGTCATTCCATGATATCTTCATATCTGGTGTTGCCCATTCCGACTTGGGCGTTTACGCCTCCTATTTGAATGGTCAGGTTCTTTCTTGGGCACTACTTTACAATCGTTTGCAACCTCTCACGAAACTGATCTTCGTCGTCGCTGCTGTAGTTGGTGGGTGCATAACATTGATTGTGATCCCCTCCTTCTTTGTTTTGAAGGAGGCTTTGATGTTTCTGGGTCCATGAGATTTCCATCCTACAAGTGTTTTTCGTACTTCTTTGAACAGCATCATTACAACTCCTTGAGTGTGCAGAGCATTTTGTTGTTCGTGACCAGAGTACAGCAGCATCTCTCCCGAATCTAATCTCTTCTTTCCAGCTTGGGTCTGATGTGTTTCACTGATTCCGAGCACCGACAAGTTGCATTTCCTTGTTTCCGCAGCTATTTGACTGGTTTTTCCGGTTTTTCACATTGTCCAGGCATTCTGTGTACCTATATTAATTGTTGTTGTGGTTGTTAGAAGGGGCATCGGTCTTGTGACTTCCTGAGAATTTTGGCATTCATCACGAGGCGTCATGATTCTTTTGAATGAAGATCGTTCAACTCAGAGGTCAGGGTTTAAATTGTTTATTCTGGTTGGCATTTTTTGTCAGAGTTGGTGACCCCATGCCTGTTTTTTTATCCGAACTTAGGAACGACAGTATCCCCGAAAGAGCTACTGAATGAGTTACTATTTAATCTTGTTTGGTATTATTTTATCATCGAAGTAGAATTTATTTATGTTTTAATTCTGTTGTATCAATACTTCCTATTTAAGCCTTTTTATCCGAATACATTTCATTTTTCAGTATGGAGAGAATGTTTCACATAAATGTTTTGAAATAATTCATTGAGCTGTATTATTTTCATTGTATTTAACTAGCAGTCTTGATCGTGAGTACTGATAGACTTATTTTTTGTAGTTGTTCTCTATTATTTTTGAGATATTACTGAAGCTTGCGGGAGTTTTTGATTTCCATTGTATCTTGATTTCACTCGCTTCATTATGTTTTCTTTACGCATGGAAAGTTATCCAGAAATTTTGCAATTACTCTTTTCGTGTCTACATGACATGAACATTTTTAAAATTTTTATTTCATCACATATTTATACAAATGATCTCTGTATATGTTATTTTACTCTTCATAGACAAGTATAGGCAGACCAATACAATTGTACGACTTTGTGAAATCAAAAGGCTGTTGTAATTGTGGACGTAAAGGACATACTGTTGAGGTATGTGTTACTGTGTTTCTCGTATTTCCTTTTGATAGTTACACGCCTCCATATTTTAGTCCTATTTTACATTCCTTCCGTATGTTCACAATTATGATTGGGTTTTATAATCATGTGTTTATATACTCTGCAATAAACTACATGTACTGTATGATGAGGGGTAATTTTAATACTTCATTGTCAGTATAGAAGGGGTATGAACACATTGTTTAATGATCAAATGTAAAGTATATTGGTTAATCCGCTAATGTTCTGTAATTAAAATATATTTATGAATGTTAAACTGTTTTGCACAAAGTTTAGGGCTCACTAATTCATGAATATGTTAAAATAACGTCTAATCTTACCTACCGTCATCGTGGTTGCTCTTTTCATATTTTAGATAAAGCATTTAAAAACAAACTGCAGAGTAGGAGAGAATCCATTTATGACATTCAGTTAGATTTCAACGTATAATACTTTCAATTGCCAAATGTTTTCTACTATTTTTCAGGCTATAGGTCTATAGTTACTTTAGTGTTTGAAAATAGTAATCACTGATTTTATAAGTCAATATGTTAGTCTGATAACGTTATTACTTTCTTAGTTGAAGATAGATAGTGAATTATGATTATATTATATATTTTATGGAATAACTTAATCCATCGGTTTACTAAATATAAGTTAATAAATTTGGCAGCTCACTAGAATATACATGAACAGACTGAAGTACCAATTGTATTTAAGCTTGGATGATTGATAAAATTATTTATGGGATACTTGGCTACGACTATATGATCTGGTTTTTTTGAAGTAGACTTTTTGAGACTGAAGAAACCAAACACGTAAAAACTTTATGTAATGATAACATATGCATATATAATTGCTGAGCTTTTACTTCATGTTAATTTTGATTGCCATAACAGATATCGGTAATATTATGTTTAAGCTGTTGATTAAGATGTTGTCTGGGAGTTATTTATATTTATGATTTATTTATTTGAACACATAATGTATATTACATTTAGACATATATACCCACATGAATTATATGACAAGATTAGGTATATAGAATATGGAAGCTGCGTTACTTAAATGATATCTGCTTACTCCCATTTGGTTAAGTATCTGCATATATCAGCAAATGTCTTGCTTATTTTTGAAATTCAGTATTACTCAAATTTCCTAACTTTATAGTGCGAATGTAGTGGTGTTAATTGTGAATTGATGGAAATCTACTTGTTTCTTCTTGATATTGTAGTAACCAAAGTAGACCGATGATTTAATGATCAAGGTATTAAACTTTTAGTTTCAGTGCTTCAAGTTCGAACAGCGTTCCACCTTCGGTATTGTTAGCTAGGTAGTGTCATTGACTCTCACAAACAAAATTTATGAAATTAAGCCGTATGCATAAATCGATATTTGTTTACTCAATTATAAACAATACTGAAAATGATCGTAACATAGGTTTTTGATTTTAGTGTCTGATTGATGGTCACTTTTCAATAGGCATTTGTATGATATGTATGATATGTATTATATATGATATGTACATTTTTAGTATTATAATATAGTGCTTTCTTAGTGGTAATTGTTCTTTCTTGTTTTACGCTTATTGTGATTCCCCTTTCATTTAAAATAAACCGTTACATAGAATTTGTTTTATCAGATTAAAAACATATTAACTGAAAATCTGATGGTTTAGTTTGTTTATTAAATTAACTAGTTCTATACTTTTTAATGTTGTATGCAGAATAGTGATGTCAAGTTGAGACAATTGAAAGTTAGTAAGCAAACAAAACTATTATGATAATATTCAACCATTCACATTATTCATGTGCTGCTGAAAAGGAATTTATTTCCAATTGCAGTTTGTATTACTACTATGATGTAGATTATGTGTCATTAAAACAAATAATAATACTTTATAAAAACAGCGCTATTGTATTGAAATTTTCCCTTTTTGTTTTACCACAATAACTAAATATGCATTGTAATTTTTAATTTTATCCCTCTTAAGGATTGTCGTCATCAACCTTTAAAATCTCATTTTATTGGTCCTTTGCCGAGGAGAAGAGTGTTGGTTTATGATAAAAAAGACATATATAAGTCTATTCGCTTAAAGTTAACTAAATTACGTGAGAAGAAAACCAAATGTAAAAAGACTTTAGAGGAGGTAGATAATTGTAAAGTAATCGATAATGAGAATGAAAACCAATTGCATAAACATTCCAAGTCATGTAAACAGAAAAAACAAAAATGTAGAAAATCAGATAACCGAACTAATTCTTCGTCTTACAATAAATTTTGTAAATCCATCAATAAAAAGAAATTGCAAAAGGTTATGGAACAAGAATTACCATATAAAGCTTCTTCATCTCCATATATGAGTAAGTTTTATGTTTATATCAAATAGATATATGGTTATATTTGTATTCATGTCAGTGCCCCCAAATGCCCTGGTACGGCCGAGAGTGGGGAGAGTCCGCTCTCCTTCTCGAAATGCTCTCACATGGCCACGCGAATATATAGCCTTTGCCAGGGAAGTCCTACTCAGTCTTCTCGTGGCGGGGGTGTTGTTTACGAAAGTGAGAGGATGAAAAGCGAATGTCCGGCGCTTTAACCGGGTTGGTGGACATGGAAAGTTTACCTAGGGGAGTTGGAAAACCCTGATTCCAAACCAGTGGTGCACATGGGCTCCAGTATCCTGAAGGAACAAATGGCGTACGAATCAATCATTGATCACTGGCTACCATGGGACTGCATCTCCTTACGATGCTCCACTGCCTTGTGGATCAGACTTTTAGGTCAAAGGCTCGGGATGTGGCCCCCTAAGAAAACCACCTGCTTCGGTTTGGGCACCTGGGCAGTATCTCTGCCCTCACACAAATCAAATGAGATTTGTGAGGCGCATATTTATCTGGTGCTTCTTTGTACCAATATTTATGTGTTTAAATAAAATAAAATAATTCATGTCAGTTAATTTATTTTCCATAAATCTACAGGTTTTTACACATTTTCCTGTTTAATTAGTGGTGTAGGGAGGAGGGAAAATGTGTCGTGAGTTGTAGATGAGATGTTGAAATGTGTTACTCCCTGAAATTTATATATCTTTCACCTTTTTGTAAGGAATCTAAATGAAGAGTATTTTAATTAACATTAGTTTGATGAAAAGACTCAACGTGTTGATTTAGTCATAATACAATAATTCAAATGATATTATTGATAAGTGTTCATCAGAGAGTGATAATTTTAACTCTAATCATATCATTGTCGATTTTTCATCAGGTAATTTGAAACAAAAGGCCATAAAACAGCGAATGGATTTTGCAAAGTTGGACGTTTTGCCGTCACTTGAAATTGAAGAAACAAAGAAGGAAAAGAGAAAAGTTAATAATGAAAATCGAAAGTTAAAGTCCCAGAGCGTCCTATTATCTCGTCACGAATTTTCCTCATCGTCTTCATATAATTTCAATGAAACTTCAGACAACCTTCGTATCACGAAAAGAACTAGAAAAAGACGAAAGTCAAGGTAAATCGTTATTGTATCATCTGTTTTTATCTCAATATTTAGTGGATATCAGCCATTCGGTTTTACTAGTTTATGATATGATGATCGAAATATTTGATGAATACTGGAATAGCCTAATTGGATTAACTGATACTTTGCAAACTAATTAGATATACTTATTTTGGAATACGAGATTTCCGACCTAGGTAGTATGACTTTTTAAATGATAAATGACTAATCATGAATGAAAATGTGGTTCACATGGAAACCAGTCACTTTTCACTTCTGCCAATCACATTAGTTTATTATAACTTTCCAAGTTATCAGCATTCCGTACGTTTCATACTACCACTGGACAATATCGGAATTCTTACTGTTGTACTGAATTTTTCTATTGCACAAGAAGTACTATTCAGTTTAATGATAAATATATTTTTCGTTACATCCCAATGAGTAGTAAAATTGTATTTCTGACATTTCGTGACTTATTGTAAACCACTTCTTCAGAGCAAATAAATAACTGAATTAAATTAACACACGTTTAAATGAGTACTGTTTAAACTTATGTTGATTTAATTCAGTTATTTATTTACTCTGAAGAAGTGGCTTACAATAAGTCACGAAATGTCAGAAATACAATTTTACTACTCATTGGGATGTAACGAAAAATATATTAATTACTAACTTTCCACCCAATGCTCAATTTATTTGAAACTATCAAGTCCAACCTTGGCATTGAAAACTACTATTCAGTTTCTTCTAGTTCTAAAAACAAAGTCAATTAAAATTTTCCATGTATTGATATATCTATGGCTTCAACTGCTAATATCTTATTTGTTGGATAAGTTAGTAGTGTATGATTGAAAGTGATAAGTAGTTGTACTTGTGACTTTACTGCATTTTGAAAATCGTAAACTGTTTACTTCCATATTCTTGTGTTAATCGATTGTGATACTATGCTTTGTGGTCAAAAGATGCATGGATCGTCGCATCAAGGGTCAAGTTGTGAAGTATTAGGTAAATATGTTAAGTGATGAAAATAATCGCCGGGACGCCATTCGTGATTCATGTTTAGTACTAGTTGATACCCATCAGCAAGGCATCTACAATCTTGGATAAACTGATACTTCCCGTTGGGTCCAAACATACATTTCTCGATTTAACGGGTATTCTACCTGTGACTGACCTTTTTAAATTACTGTGAAACCCCGTTATATCCATACTTCATCACTTTCACCCACGTTCAGTAACCCAGTTAATTGAAATCACTGCTATTTTTACTGGCCCGCCGTGTATCATCGTAAGAAACCTGGAAAACTACTCAAATTCACTCAACGAATATTTTGATTTCTTATACTGTGCTAACTGGGTGACAGTCTTGATAAGCCAAATTTTTAGAGCTTTTCTTTATGAAGATATGTCATTCCTAAGAAATATATGGATTGTTTCAGTCTAGTCATTTCTACAACGCAGTTGAATTATCCCTATTAATCTTTTATGGTCAATCAATTAGACTTGATGATGTACATAGTCTTTTACAGTCATTAACAGTTTTCTAATTGTTTTTTCTCTTAGATTTTCGGAAGACATTCATAAAGCAAGTACTTCATATTCACCATTTCAAAATACACACCAAACTCCTTTAAGGAAATGGAAAAAGAAATATTTCTCTCAATCTGTAACTTCATAATGTGAATTATGTTGTATAAATTGTTTACCTTATATATAAATATGATAAATTTGTTTGTTTCTTTATTAGTTTAGTCTCTAGCAAATAAGCTATGGAATAATTATATGATATTTTGAAGGTGATCATTGAATCCACATCCACTTACAAGTATGATCAGGTTTGATACAAAAGGAGAGGAGGCATTAAAAAAGTGTGGTCAAGTTATTTGAAAAGATGTAGTGCATAAACTATTTTAGTTGAATGTTAAAAATGAGATTATTAGTAACGTAAAGCATAAGTTGCATGCGAAAATGTATTATCACTGGTGACATCATTTTATAGTACACATTTATTGATGGGATGGACACCGTAATAGTAATAAATCTTTTAACCATGAACTTGTCATTAATATAGGTAGTGAGTGGAAACTAATAGATGGGCTAAGAGGGTGGTGTAACTGAAACATTGGTTTTAGAATGATGAATGTCACATTGTCGCCATGGTAAGGTATATTAAACAGTTTATTCATAAGAGCTCAGCTTAGTGTTTTACAGCACTTTCGCGTTCCGTACTAACTGTTATTCATTGTTAGTGTTTTAATTTGTAGTGCGTCTAATTCCTTGAAGAGAAATGAGTTTATTACAGTTGCGTCAGTTTAGGTGATCTAGTCCAATAAGTCCATTGCATCACACATGTTTTTTGAATTTTTGCTAGCTATAATGCGCAGCGTTTATGAACCAGTTTTCTATTACCGGTAGGGCTGAAACATCAACTTCACGGGATGATAAAATAAATAATTTACCACTAGTGAATTTCAGTTCAATTACCGAGTTTATGTTAGAGTCTACAATTAGAAGAAACACTGCGACCATTTCAAATTAAAGAGTATCAAATAGACAGTTTTTACATTGTCAGTAATTTTTCTGGTATGATTTAACATTATTCATTCATATATGGGTTGAATACTTCTCAACTGTCAATGATTTCGAATTATTTGTTTCAGTAATATGTGTTTGGGTTCTATAGGGGAATTATTTATCTGCACTGTTTCATTATCCCTAATTATCTTGTGAGTAGAATGCTCATATATGCAAATAACGATTGAAACATGTAGTATCAGATTTTAATGAGCATTGTCCTTAGTGTGTTAAAATATCACGGGCGCCTAACTAAGACTCGTGAACTGCAAACACGAGGAAATCAGACCGGCTTCAGACCTGGTGGTGGCTGTATCGACCACATATTCATTAGTTATCAGGTTTTGGAACACCTCATGCTTATCGGCGTCCGACAATGATAGTTTTCCTTGACTTAAAAGAAGCATTTGACTCTAAACACTGAGCGGTTCTGTTGCAGTGTTTGTCATTGAAAGGTGTACCTCAGAAGTACATAAACTTTGTGAAGGCTCTTTACTCGAACACTACTAGTCGAGTCAGAGCTTATGGTGAACTGTCATTTGATTTTACAACCTCAAGTGGTATCTGACAAGGCTGTCCACTATCCCCACTTGTGTTTAACTTCATTATAAACCTACTACTGAAAATAACGCCCCCGTCGACTGAATTTTCGGGAATTGATCTCCTACCAGGAGGTTCATTTATTGACTTGGAATACTCAGATGACAAATTCCTGTTTGGTGAAGACGCTGATAAAATCCAGAGTGTTTTGGTAGCACTGAGCAACTATATCAGGATGTTTGTGATGCGTTTCTCCTCTAAACGCAAGTTGTTGATTCAGGACTGGTCTGCGTCAACACCTGAACTAAGAATAGGGAGTGAAGTAGTCGAACGCGTCGACAACTTCACTTATCTTGGAATTCTGATCAGCCCTAATGGGTTGTTGTCTGTCGAGATCTCTGCACGGATTCAGAAAGCTCGTTTGACTTTTGCCAACTTAGGTCATCTATAGCGAAGGCGAGATATCCGTCTATCAATTGAGGGACGAGTATACTGCTCAGCAGATCGCTCTGTTCTACTTTATGGCTGCGAAACGTGGCCATTAGGAGTAGAAGATACTCGTGATTTACAAGTATTTGATCACAGATGCCTTATAAATATTGCTCGCATCTGCTGGTATCACCGGATAAGTAACAGCGAGGTTAGACTTAGGGTATTAGGGGGTGGTGGTAAATCAGTTGATGAGGTTTGCAAATCTTCATCGACTGAGATGGTTGGACCACGTTTTACGTATGCCGGAACACCGATTATCACGACGCGCCATGCTGACGTGTATAGGAGATGGTTGGAAGACAGTTAGAGGTGGTCAAACCAAAACGTGGCGTCAGTGCTTGAAATCACTAACTTCTAGTCTGAGCCATGTCGGTAGATGTAGACTGTTTGGTTGGAGACTCTGTGTGACATAGCTCAGAATCAATGACAATGGCGTAGGTGTATACACTCTCTGTCTACCCTTAAACCATGAGAATAAAATTATTTTATATCTTTCTTTCTACGAACTAATTCTTTCTTCCTGTATTATGTCCTTATACACAATCTTTCCTTCATATATTACTAACGTTAAAGTAACTACTTCAATGAGTTTGGCGTTCATCTTGTTGTGTTAATGAGGTATGGCAACTTGGACTGATGCATATATGTGCTTAGTCCTATGTTGTAGTTGAGTGACTGACCGAATGACTTCTTAATGGTAGGTTACTATGATATACCTCTTAGTGTTAGTATGTATTTCTGAGAAGTCAAAGTAATATAGACAGACACTTTTAAGTTATTTAAATACTAACAGTTTTTTCGTATGGCCCCTTTATCTGACTGTAATTGGATCGTACTAATGATTGTCATCGAAATATACAGCCCAGCTACCTCGTTTATAATCATCGACTTAAATCGCGTTGGTGAATAACGGAATTAAATAAGTCAAATACGAGAATGAATACGTATATTTCACATAATCGTTGATCTGAACATACAATCAGAGAGACGAAATAACACACAGTGGAGATGGTAAGTGGTCCAACTCGATTTAATCAGGCGTGACTCGTGCTTATAGTCAAACAAAAAATAAGTTACAGACACATGGTAAATGTGCTAAGTAATTAGCGCATACGATCATATAAAAAAGAGACGGGGTTAGTAAGTGAATAAACGACAGGTTAAGAATATCACTTGAGATGAATGGACAGATTGGTCAATCCAGAGGTTAGAATAATCTATATGGGCTTAAAATAGTACCAATCCTCACAGTTTGTTCTTCATTCAAAACCTGTTCATTATTATAATTCCGAACTATTTTTGAGAAACGAATATGCGGTTCTTATTTTAAGTGTGGATCTCTACAAAAAGATCACTTGCAGTAATAAGTCTTTCTGTTAAGCTTCTATTTTTATCTGATTATGGGAATAAAAGTTGAATATTTGGTTAATTAAGCAAAGATTTTTCGATAGCATTCGATCAGCACTAAGAAGGACCTGACATGCATGAGATTGATCACCACCCAGTGATCAATCAATTGTGAAAGATTTTGTAAGTCAGTAGTTTCTCATGGAATGCTTGTACAGAAAAAGTCACATGATTTCACATTATTAGGTGAATCCAATTAGGTACGCTACTACTGTTATAAGTGTTACCTAGTTTTCAAAAAAAGAGATGTGAATAAAATGTGTTGCGGAGCATGGCAACGGTAGAGTCCATGTAAAATGTATATTGAAGTCTAAAATGTATGCTGGCGGTATATTCATCTGAAGTATCTTTATAATCATAATTAGTGTTGTTTTGGTAAAAGAAATTGTTTGGAGTCTCATTTCTAAAGTAATTGGTTTGTAAACTGTGGAAGTTTATCTTGAAATTGGACAGATAATATGACAACGCCTTATCTTGATGAATATCCTTTCAAATAGCCATATCAAATGGCCCGGAGTGGGATTTATGATAAAGTACATTATGCAATGATTATTTCACATGTCCAAGATTGTGAATGGACTTCAACGTTCTTGAATTTTAAAAGAAAAATCAGATTTTATAAGTTATGTGGTACATTGGGTACTACATACTGCATTCTGTCACATCTTCACTTTTCTGCACCATTCGTTTATCAAAAGAGACTACATCTACGGAATCGCTTTACGAGTTTATTGAAGTCGTGGGAATAAAACATAATTACTGTTATCATATTTGTCTAGTACTCACAATGCATACTGATTACTTAGAACCCCCCCCCTATTTAATGAGGCTATTTTCTGACTTGATATTAACTCAAAATAAGGGATAGTCTTTTTCGTAAAACAAGAAATATCAATTCGTAGGGCTAAAAATAATAACAATAGATTTGGTCTAAAGAATAAACTTTGAAACTGTAGTAAGCATGTTGACAAATGAGATTGGAGGTTTTAGTGGCCCTATATCTGACTCCATTTGGATCGTATGATTGATCGTCATCGAATTATACATTTCGTCAACCCTCGTACACAATAATTGACTTCAATCACGTTAGTGGATAACGGAATTAAATAAGCCAAATATGAGAATGAATTTTGAATACATAGATTTTGTACTATCGTTGATCGGCAAATAAAGCAAAACAAAATGACGCACAATCGGAAAGGCGGGCGAGCCAACTCCATTTAGCCAAGGGTGAATCGTTATTTACAGTCAGACAAAAATAAGTTATAGACATGTGGTGCGTAAGATAAGAAATGTACACACAGACGCTTACAAAGTAGAGAGGAGAGACAAAGATGAAGTTTCTGTTATAGATGTGTCATAAATTTGTTACAGGTATTATTAAAGTGACCTAATAAGTGTATTCTTTCAAAATAAGTGGATTTGATTTGATAAGAAGTGAACAATAAATGACATCGGAAGGACTGTCAGAAGGAAATAACTGACTAAACAACTGAATTTCACAAAAAGTTATGTCAAGCGGAAAAGGAATGAATAATCCAAACTGCTCATTACAAAGCAGGATAAACTGTCCAACAGGATATTTCCCACAATATACCAATATGAAGCAAAGTTTAAGTACTCGAAACGTAAAGTTTCAATGAAGTTACTTAAAAGCTTTGCCTA